GATCATAATACTTTATACACTGGTTTTTAGGACTGAACATAATTTATGCCCATGTGCTTAGTATGTGTCCTGCCCTTCATTCTTGATTTAGAGGTGACTACTGTTCATAATTGCCTCCTAGTAAGTGAGAGGGCCAGAATTTGAACCCTGCCCTCTCTGGCTTTAAAACTCTATATGTTTCTTCCCTCTCACTTGTTCTCCCTACATGTATACTTCTGAGTGAAGTAGGACACTCTTTTTTTCTTTTTGGCAGGGCTTCCAGTTGAACCCGGGGCCTCCTGTACACTAGACATGCACTCCACCACTGAGCTGCACCCTAGCGCACACTTTATACTTCTTAAACTGCAGTGTCCGTAGCTTCTGAGATACGTCACCAGGCACCAGTGTGTTCCCAAAGCCACAGTTAACTTTGGCACATCTTTCTGTAGTGCAGTCTTTTTAAAAATTTTTTTAAAATTTTTTAGTTTTAGGTAGACATCTTATCTTTATTTTATATTTATGTAGTGCTGAGGATCAAACCCAGTGCCTCCTGTATGCTAGGCGAGCACTCTACCGCTGAGCCACAATCCCAGCCCTATAGTACAAGTTTTTTTAAATGAATCTTACACTATCTGAAAACAATCACAATGTGGTTTTCAAGATTGACTGGAATTTTAGATTTAAATGAAAGACTTCCAGAGGGACAGGCCACTTTGGTTGTTACTCCTAGTCTTTCTGTGGCAGGCTGCAGAATGGGATGTTTAGAGGAAAACGTTAGAAGCATCACTCTTTGTAGATTCTTGGAAACCTCAACTTTTTGTAGCCAGAATGACCCCAAAATCTGAGTTTCAAACATGGCATTGCTTTGATGTGCAGCCTGGATGTGTTAGCACACTTGGGCATGGTCTTACCTTTGCCTCTGACTTACCGCAGGACTCTACCCACTGAATTTTCACCACTGGAAGAAAGAAAGGGAAAGTTCTCTAAGATGTGGGCCAGCAACCAGGTAATTGAGTTTTTGCCTTCATTCCCCAGGACTCTGCCTGCCCTGGTGTGGCATCGACAGGATTGGACCATCCTGCATTCTTATGTGCACCTCAACACTGATGAGCTAGAAGCCCTGCAGATGTGCACAGGTAGACAAGAGCATTCCAGGGGAGGAAGGACCCTGCTTGAAAGAGGGTTTATATTTTTGTTGTTGTTGATTTATGGTGTTGGGGATTGAACTCATGGCCTCACATGCTAGGCTAGTGCTCTACCACTGAGCCCCCCCCCCATTTAAGTTGTGTGTGTGTGTGTGTGTGTGTGTGTGTGTGCGCGCGTGTGTGCGCGTGCGCGCGCTCATTCCTGAAGGGAATCCTGATCATTGTTATTTCTTTGGCAAATGCAGTGGTTTTTTAAAAGATATTTTTAACTTTTAAAAAAATTGTTATAATATAAAGTTTATTATTATAACTATTTTTAAGTATATTCCCATTGTTATGTAGCCATTAGCAAAATGCAACCTATTTTTTTTTTTTTTGGTACTGGGGGTTGAACCCAGAAACACTTAAAAATTGAGCCACATCCCCAGCCCTTTTTATTTTTTTTTTTTTTTTAGTTGTAGATGGACAATATCTTTATTTGTTTATTTTTATGTGGTGCTATGGATCGAACCCAGGGTCTCATGCATGCAAGGCAAGCACTCTACCACTGAGCTACAGCCTCAGCCCTTATTTTTTAGTTTGAAACAGATCTCACTAAGTTGCTTAGGGCCTCATTCAGTTGTTGAATCTGGTTTTGAGCTTTCAATCTTCCTGACAGCCTTCTGAGCTGCTGGGATTACACCACAGTGAATTCTTAGTTTTAATGCACTGGAATTTATTAGAGTTTTATGATTTTTAGAAAAAAAAAATCTACACCACAAGAGTAAAGAGATAGTCTCCCCCTTGGTTATTTTTTGTTTGTTTTTTGTTTTTTTTGAGATGGAGTCTTGCCATGTTTTTCAGATTGGCCTTGAACTCCTCAGCTCACGTAATTGTCCCACCTCAGTGTTCCAAGTAGCTGAGACTGCAGGTACATGCCATGGCACCCAGCTTCTCTTATATTTTCTAATCAAAACTGTTTTTCTTACACATTCTACCTGGAGTTATTTTTTTGTGTGTAGTAAGTTGACATCTGATTTGTGTGTGTGTGTTGGGGGGATTGCTGAGGATTAAATCTAGTGCCTCATGTGCTTAGCATGAGCTGTACCACTGATTTACACCCCAGCCCCTGATCTCATTTATTTTCCACATGGATAACCACTTGGCCCAGGACCTTTATTGAATAATTAGCAATCAGCAGTGTCATTCTGGCAGGTATCATATTTTCTCATGTGATTGGTATGGGTCTAACTTTAAGTAGTGGGTTTTGTTTTTATTTCTTTAGTTTTTGGAATATCCTTACTTGATAAAAGAAAAATTTGCAATGATTTAAAAAAACATCTTTCAAATTATATTGCTCTGTGAAATTAAAACAATCTGGGAACATTGTCTTGACACCAATTCCAGAAGTCTGCTAATCCTTGAGTTGTCGAGATTCCTTTATTTATTTATTTTTTAAAAAATTTTTTATTATTAGTTGTTCAAAACATTACAAAGTTCTTGACTTATCATATTTCATACATTTGATTCAAGCGGATTATGAACTCCCATTTTTACCCTGTATTCATATTGCAGATTCACATCGGTTACACATCCACTTTTTTACCTACTGCCATACTAGTGTCTTGTCGAGATTCCTTTAGCATTTATGGTATCAGATCTGAAAGCAGAGAATGATGCCCTGTCCATGTAGTCCCTGAGAACACAACATTTGGCTCTGATTCCCTGGGGACAGATCTGAGGTGGAAACATCAGTTAAGTGAGTCTGTGCTACCTTCGGCCTCCTGGCATTGTTGACCCAGAAAGCAGTGACTGAACAGTAAATATTTTATTTGAGCCTTATTCCTAATGGAAAAGTCAAATTCTGGAATTCTGAAATTTGTGTGAATTTCTTTAGGCAGATGACAGTCATATACTCTTAATAAATGTCACAGGATACAGCGAAAGTTTCAAAATAAATAAAATCATGAAGATAAGTAGCTGGTGAGCTGTTAGACTCAAATCCCTTTTGATACATTCACAGTATGATTGCTTCCTATTCCAGTAATTTGGTCATCTTTGTGATACAGGTTACATTGCTGGGTTCGTAGACCTGGAGGTGAGCAACAGACCAGATCTCTATGACGTGTTTGTGAATCTGGCAGATAGCGAGATCACCATTGCTCCACTTGCAAAAGGTTAGTCCCCTGTTGTTGACATGCGATATAAGCCCAGTGGCTGCACTCAAGGCCTGCTTAGCCTGCTCTGCTGAAGCTGGAGGGGCTTTTCAGTATTCATCCCGTAGACCTAGACTGTTAGTAGTGCAGACGGAATTACTGATCCCAGCTTTTGTGTGGTCACTTACCTTTCTTCTAAAGGTGGGGGCTGATGAATGTCAGCTCATTAGGGATCATTGATACATAGATTTTTTCCATTACACTGGATCTATAAAATGGGCTTATCCCATGCAGCACCATCTGAATGGAGTGGCAAAGGAACTTTCTGTGAATGATGCTGCGGACAGTAGCAGTGTTTATGTCATTTAGGTTGTTCCCTTTGTTCATGTTTTATGGACTTTAACACACAGAATACGCAGTTGGCTTCTGCAGAACTGACAGGAAGCACTTATTTCACAACATTCCTTTCATAAAGATTTCCTTATGAGGAAAAATTATCAACTGTAAAGACTTGGACAAGGAAGCCAGACTCTTGCCTTAAAGTCACAGCTTAATTGTAGTCTAAAGTTTTCATTAGGTTTTGTCTGGAAAGAAAAATAAAAATTCATATCAGGTAGGTGTGGAGGGGAAATCTGGTTTGGTTTTGACATGCTTTGTGTTGAACCATGAAGTGTATAAATCCAATTATGCCCTATCCCCTCGCATTTGTCACATTGGCATTTGGTAATAAAGTGGAAGTGTGGGGGGTCATCTGCTGCCTTTTGATTAATATGGTCTTTCAAGTTTTTAGTTAAATGGCATGGTTATTTTTATTCTTTAAGCTTCTAAATATTCACACAACTTATTTATCTTGCTCTCACCAGAGTCCATGACAATGGGAAAACTACACAAAGAAATCGGCCAGCTAATTGTTCAGTCTGCAGAGGATCCAGAGAAGTCAGACAGCCAAGTTATACAGGTGACTCTTTGACCTGCTCATTCACTACAAGTCCCCAGCAGCCTTGTTGAGTGGCACATCCAGCTTGTTCTGTGCTGTGCACAGTAGCAGAGTGACGTACCGGGGGTCAGGCCAGCAGCAAGGGCTCAGGTTGGGTTTTGCAGCATGGCCGTGGTGATGATGGGTGGGCAAGGGTGGCTACTGTGGCCTGGTCAGTTTATTAGGCTCCGGGGAAAGGTCTTATAGGGGCTGGTGCTGATGCCGACCACTGGTGGTAAGACGTGAACAGCCAAGCAGACTGGAATGCATTTTGGGCTGGCCAGTACATTTTTCTCCTCCTAGGGGAATTTTCATAGAGGAACAGATTGTTGAGTGCTGCTGAGCAGGAAACTAGACAGATGCTAGGAGTTAGCTTTGCCATATTGTCTTTAGAACAGCAGTAGACATGGAGTCAAGGCTGCCGTCACACGCTTCACAGACAACTCCTCTTTGGGGTCTGCCTGTCAAGCTGACCACTGTCCATGTGCACCAGTTGGCACCCTCTCCTCTGCCTTTGCCAGAATGGGATAGCAAGGGCTTATGTTTCTGGGGCCTTTCCACATGGTGCCAGAGTCCCACTTCTCTTGTATTGCCTAGTCTCCTCCCCCTAGCCTGCAACCCCTTTGTATTTGGCCTGTTCCCAGCTCCTTGCTCCTCTCCTGAGGAATACGGCCTGCCCTCTTCCAGTGCCTGCTCCGGAACCTGTCTTAGACCCTGGGACTGGGGAGCCTAGAAAGACTTGTCTCCCTTTGTCTGCATCTGAGGCACCTGGGGGCACCTCTGGTAATCAGGCTGAACTCGCCTCATCCCACCTGGCACACTTCTTCACATATCTGTTTACCCAGACAGTACTCATCAAGCAGTGAATAGCATAGACACGGTGGTGAGCAGAGCCCCTGCCCTCACAGAGCCTGTGTTTTAGTGGAGCAGATGAGTAAAAACGAATACACAACAGGATGATTGTGAAGCTTAGTAAATACTGTGTTGAGGTGGCCGAGGGGGTAAGACAGCCCTCTGAGCAGGACATGAGGGGCCGCAGGATTTGGCAGGGACTGGCCAACAGCACTGTTCTTCTGTTCAGTGCTGGCAGCCTGTCCGGATGTGGCCAGGAAGAGTGGACAGGTCTTGTTCCAAGGACATGAGACAATCTGCCGATGCTTCTTTCCTACCATGTGAATTGGCACTGTCCCCATCAACATGACAGTAAAAAACACTATTATATAAATTTGAGTTTGGGATACTTGGATTTGGTTGGATTTGGATTGTTTTTCACGGACTAAAAGTGATACATAAGCCAGGTGCGGTGGGGCATCCCTGTAATCCCAGCAGCTCAGGAGGCTGAGGCAGGAGGATTGGGAGTTCAAAGCCAGTCTTAGCAAAAACAAGGTGCTAAGAAACTCAGTGGAACGCTATCTCTAAATAAAATACAAAATAGGGCTGGGGTGTGGCTCAGTGGTAGAATGCACCTGAATTCAATCCCTAGCATCCCAAAAAACAAAAAAAAAGTGATACTTAGATGACTCAGTATAAAGTGTGAGACCTCAGGGAGGGAAAGTGAAGGCACAGCATGTTGTAAATTCTGAAATACAATTGAGTTAATGATGTGGGCAAACCAGGAAAAGGCAGGATTGTAACGGGGAGCTTCAGCAAGTCCTCAGCCCTCAGAGGAGTGTCAGTGAACAGGAAGAAAGCCCATGGCAGGTGCTGGGTGGCAAAGAGGGCTATTGAGAAGAGATATATTCAAAAAAATAATCCACATAGAATGACCGTGATTCAGCAATGCACTTCTAGGAATATACTCAAAAGAAATGAAAGCAGGGACTCAAACAGGTATCTGTACACCAGTGTTCATGGCAGCATTACTCATAATCCACACAAGTTGGAAACAGCCCAGGTGCCCACCAACAGATGAATGGGGAGACAACAGGTGGCACATAAATACAAGTGAATATTATTCAGCTTCAGAAAGAATGAAGATCTAACACATGCTGCATTGCAAATGAACCTTGAGGACATCATGATGTTATGCTAAGTGAAATAAGCCATTCGCAAAAGGACAGATACCATGTGATGCTACTTAGATGAGGTACCTAGAATAGCAGTTCACTAGAAGAAGCAGAATAGAGCTCCACAGTGTTCTGAGGGGAGAGGTGGAGGGTTATTGTCGATAGGGATGGAATTTCTGATTGGGATAGTAGGAAATTTCTAGAAATAGTGGTGATGGTTGTGCAACATGGTGAATAAACTTAGCACTCCTGCAGTATATACTTACAAATGGCTAAAATGGTTAAAAGAATCAATGATATTTTTCTAAGTCATTTTGTTTCATAATGTATAAAGTTAGTTTGATAAATTATAAAATAGCAGGAAGAATTCTAGGGAATAACTGTTGAACCTTTCACATACTAACACTTTGCATATTTTCCTATTCTATTGTAAAGGATATTGCCCTAAAAACAAAAGAAATCTTCACCAACCTAGCACCATTTTCTGAAGTTTCGGGTGATGGAGGAAAACGAGTCCTCAATTTGGAGGCGCTCAAGCAAAAAAGATTTCCACCAGCAACAGAGAATTTCCTTTACCACCTAGCAGCAGCCGAACAAATGCTGAAACTCTGACTGTGAGATAGGATGTGCGCTGGTGACCGCTGGAAAGCTCTCCTTCCACTCTGATTATCCGTTGACTGTGGAAAATACTGGAGATAAGAGGAAATGCTATATTTTCAGTGATTTATTTGAAAGTATTGAGATTTGACCTGAAAAATACTGAAACACATGAAAACACTTGTGATTCTCTCCCAGCTATTAGTTTCCTGCCTGCTGTCAGCGTCTGACAAAGTGCTGTCTGTAACTATTCCATGTGAGGAATGCCTCTGCCCAGTGTCCTGGAGTGAGGGGAAGCTCTGTCCTTGGGCAAATCACAGCTGATGCAAAAGCCTTCATTATTAGTTCCCATGTGTCTCATCGTGTACCATAAACTAACAGTTTGTTACCAGAAAGCTGCCTGAAATTTTGCTTTTGTAATTCTAGGAAGAACTTTCATTCCTCACAGGGAACTCTTCTTTCTGAGCCAAACTGCTAAGTTTTCTGCAGAACTGTCTAAAAGATCATTCAAGAGACCCTGCAGTTGCACTTTCTTATAAAAGAAAACATTTTTTTTTCTTGGCCTTTAAACATTTTGCCTATATTATGAGGGTTTTGCAGATTTTATACTTTAATAATCCATATTTATACTCCCACAGAAGTGACTGTTGGGCAGCTGAGCCATTGGACCTCTGCACCTAACCCGGTGCTAGCACTAGTCTTCAGAGGAGATGCCAGTCCTTATATGGTAGAGCAAATAACCCATCTTGAGTATTAGTGTCTTAGGACTGAAACAGTGATTTTTTTTTTTTTAATAATCAGTAAAGAAATGTGAGAATCAGCTTCTTACAGGGGCCAAAACAAGAGAATGTCTCCAAATGACTTCAGTAAAAATAATTTGGCTACAGATCAAGGTGACCGTTCTTGTTCAGTTGTATACCTTCATAACTGGAGAACTTTAAATTGCCAAATAAGCCTAGAGGTCGAAATTATATACTTGTTATTTTGTTATGTATATTCATATTAATTTTGAAAGATTATTTTTTACTCAAAACTGTTATCCTTGAAATATTACCTGGAAACATGTTTGCAAAACAGACTATCTATTGGATTTTTCTTTTTTTTTCCTGGGTGTTAGACAATTGTTAAGTAAAAACAAAAATAGCCTTTTTTCCCTCCTTCCTTAGGCAGGGCCAGAGAGGACCTGAAATGAGATGATGTTTACTGAGGCAAATGATTGAGAATTAAATCTGCACTTTATGAAAATGAATACTAACACCCCCCCTTTGGGGGGAAATATTGTATTAGCTAATGGACAAACTTGTTAAAATTACAAATTTATGATGCAGAATTAAAATGGCTCTCTCTCTCATTCTCCCCATTCCAAGTAAGAGAAAAAAAAAATCCTCTTTTCCAATTGCTAAGGGACTGAGGAGTTATGAAAAAGAGTTGTCTGGAAGGTAAAGCAGTCTCCAGGCTACCACGAGGCTCCCAGCCTTGCCCCACTCCACCCCCACTTCCAGGAGAACTGTCCTGGGAAGAGGCCTTCATGCTTCTAGTTGCTCATCTGTAAGTGGCTGAACCTCCATTAGGCCTTTGTCCACCATCTGCCTGTGTATGTGCACTGGGATTTAACCCAGGGTGCTCTACCACTGTCCTGTATCCCCCTCCCTTTTTACTTTGCATTAGTGCTGGACTTGAACCTGTGATCCCCCTGCCTCAGTTTCCCAAATCATACGGATTACAGGTATATACCACTGCATCCAGCCCATTCCCCCTGCGTGCCCCCAACCCTAACCCCTGACCAGTACTGGGGATTGAATCCAGAGCCTCACATATGCTAGGCAAGTGGTCTACCGTGGATCTACATCCCCAGCTCTTTATTTTGAGACAGGGTGTTAACAAAGTTGCCCGAGCTGACCTTAAACTTGTGATCCTGCTGCCTCAGCCTTCTGGGTAGCTGGGATTACAGGATGTGCCACTGCACCCATCTCCTTTTGTCCATCTTGATCTCTACCTTTAATTTAAAGTAAGCCTGTGGCCAGACTGAGCCATCTAGTAGGTAATTTTTACTGGTTTTGTTCTATAGGCTTCTGTAAAACTCCTTTTTACTAAGTTTGGAAATAACTGTTATTCTAACCAAGGGAAAAGTGAGTCACAGAAACATTCTTCGGTGGTCTGGGTAAGGCATTTGGAGACATTGCTCCAGTACCCAAGTGTGTGGACACCTCTGTGCCATGCCCTGGGCTATATCCTGGGGCTACCCTGATAGCAACAGTCCCTGCTCTGGGGGGAATAGGATCAGCCAACAGGTTGTACTTCATTGTGGCCAGACTTAAATCCCACATAGGAAACATGGGGCACTATGGGAGCACCGGGCAGGGACATAGAGTTTAGCACTGTGAATCCTGGAGGCCGCAACTGTCCAAGCCCAGAGCAGAGGGAAGAGCTTATGTGAAGGCCCAGAGGAGACCAGAGCCCATGGAGAAACAATGAGGAGAGATGAGTAAGGCAGAAGCTCCTGTGAGGCATGGCAAGGCATGGACTTGACACACTGGGTAGCTTCTCAGGCCTGGCTTAGAAAAGCGGGCTGGTGCATGGACTGGCTGGAGCTGGGCAGCAGATGAGGAGCACCAGCAGGGAGGACTGCTGCACTGAGCTTAGCTGGCAGCCTAGATCATGAAGTGTTCTGGACTCTTGACTAGATGGGCCAATCTGCTGACCAGGAGGGAGGGGGAGGGGGTTAAGGCCATTAAGGCCACCAGGGCTCCTGTCCACACTCCACACAGCCAGTGTGAGGAGTCCTTGGGCATCCCAAGAGCCAGGTGCAGCAGGCAGCTGGATAAGAGCCTCAGGATCAGGACTGTCACAGGGCCCAGCATGGTGGCAGCGAGGCCTTTGGGTGGCACTGGTGACAGCAGTCTCGGCAAAATGGAAGCTGGGCTGATGCAGTGTGCACTGACTGTGGATGGATTTTTGCTTTTTTAATGAGGCAGTTTAAATGCTCCTGGGGAGGAGCCAGCAGAGAGGGAGGCTGAGGCCAGAGGGGACTGCAGAGGCTGTAGTGCAAGGCCCTGAGGTCCAAAGGGAGGAGCCCAAAACCTAGGGACAGGTAACCTTACATGGACAGGCTGGGTGTGAGTGGAGGAGGTTTGCTAATTGCACGCCAACCAGGAGGTCACTGCTGGCCAACATCCTTGGTTTTCCATGGAAGGAGGCAGAGCCTCCTGTCAGTGCGCAGTGGGTACAGCACAGTGGGCAGCATGGCAGGACTTGCAGGTTGTCCAGGATGGAGTGAGCCAAGGAGGGAAACAGGGCTGCTTGCGCTTATCTGGAGATGGGATGTCATTTTAGTGCCCACCTCCTGGGCCAGGTGCACCCTTCATTGTACTGTTTCAATATTCAACTTTAGACAAAGTTCATTAGTAGCTGCACAGTCCTCCCACAGGCTGCTGCTGGACAGCAGCCTCACGTGGGGTGTTGGTCAGGACACACTCCCATCACTTCTTCCACCAGCCTCAAAGTCCCTAGAAGCCATCCTGCTTCTAGAGGTTCCCAGGGATGTCGGGGTCGGCAGGGTTTTGTGAACTGAAACCTGGAGGGCAGGGAGGTCTTCAAGCAGGAGCCAGAATCACTCATACCTGGCGCCTACACCCCTCTGTTATAGAACAGTTCTGTTTCTTCCGTCAAAGCCTGAATTTCCTCTTCAAGTTTACTGTACTTTATCTGAAAAACAAAGTTAAATCCTCAATATTTACACTCATGACTTCTGCTTTAGAAATCAAGTTTTTAAAAAGCATTTTCTGAGAGTAACCATTTCACTCAGTCCATCTCTTTCAGTGATATCTAACCGATAGCAAAAAGGATCACCTAACTTCTTAAAAACTTGTTAATGGAACATTTCAGTTGTAAACAAATGTAGATGGGGTGCAATGGTGCAGGCCTGTAATCCCACTAGCTTGGGAGGCTGAGGCAGAAGGATCACAAGTTCAAAGCCAGTCTCAGCAATTTAATGAGGCCCTAAGCAACTTAATGAAAGCCTGTCTCAAAAAATGAAAAGGGGGGTTGGGGTTGTGGCTCAGTGGTAGAGCACTTGCCTAGCATGTGTGAGGCCCTGTTAATCGTCAGCACCACATAAATATAAATAAATAAAATAAAGGTATGGTGCCATCTATAACAAAAGTATTTTTTTTTAAAATGAGGGGTTGTAGCTCAGCAGTAGAGTGCTTGCCTAGCATGTACAGGTCATGGATTTGATCCTCAGTACCACATGAAAATAAATAAATAAAATAAAGTTATTATGTCCAACTACAACTGAAAAATAAATATTAAAAAGAAAAGGGCTAGGAATGTGGCTCAGTGGTTAAACATCTCTGGTACGATAAAACAACCAACCAAAAAATGTAGAAAGAATATAATGGTCCTTCATGTGCTTATCACTCAGCAACAACCATTCACAAGCTGCTGGTCTTACTTCCTTGAGCACCTCCCACACCCAGAAATGGGAGCTTTTTGTTGTTGATATGTTGTTGGGGGCATGGTTACCAGAGGCACTTAACCTCTGAGTCACATCCCCAGCCCTTTTTGTTTTTTATTTTGAAATAGGATCTCACAAAGTTGCTAAGCCTGGCCTTGAACTTACCATCCTCCTTCCTCAGCCTCCTGGGTTGCTAGGATCACAGGTGTGCACAACCAGGCCTGGATTTTCTTGAGTATTTTAAGGGAATTCTCAGATGTACCATTTTACTTACAAATACTTCAGTATGAAATTTCAAATGATTAAAAAACTCTTCCATGTAGTTATAGAACTATTGTGCTATTATCACACCTAACAAAATGAACAGCTATCCCTTCACACCATCCAATACCCATCTCTAGGCCCATGAGACTATAGGTGGTGGCCGGCAAAGCTCTGGAGGGACAAACTCCCAGGCCACTTCTAGAAGGCAATGCAGCCTCTGGCCTTCCTGAGATGCCCTGGGCACTGAACCCCTCCCATCCTTGGGCTTCTGTGAATGCACATGGTCACCCAAGATGGGACAGGGAGGTAAGGACCCCCAATAGCCCAGGACAGGCATTAGGTACCTCCATACCCACTCAACAACAACCATTCACAAGCTGCTGGTCTTACTTCCTTGAGCACCTCTCACACCCAGAAAAGGGAGCTTTTTGTTGTTGATATTGTTGGGGGCAGGTATTTTCAAGGTCCAGCAGATCTTGGTGCTTGGGGCCACACCTGGAGATGGACTCCACTTCCTGCCTCTGGTCTCTTGAGATTTCCACACTCAACCCACTATCCTTCCTGAAAACACCCGTGAGAGACTATTACCTGTCCCCCAATGTCTGTTCTCTTCTTCCCCAGCAGCAGAATTTTAAATAGGTACAGAATAAATATATAAAGAACAACCCTTTTCTGAGACACTATTACTATTACCTTGGACTCTCTTCAATAGGTAAGGAATCAGAAAATTGACCAAGATAATGGAAAAGCTGGGAATTTGAATCCAAGCAGTCATTACAAATTAAATTACAATATATTATAAACTGTCTCTAGAACTGTGCTATCACAGTAGCTACGTGTGAGCACATAGGTTAAAATTAAATTTAATATTCTTGGGCAGAGAATGTTGCCTGCGGGTAGAACACTTCCCTAGCATGTGTGGAGCCCTAGATTCTGTCCCCAGCACTACAAAATTAATTAATTAATCAATCAAAGTAATAAAATTCAGTCCCTTAGTCACACTAGCCACATTTCAAGTGCTCGGTAGACACATGTGTCTAGTGGTCATCACATTGGTGAGGACAGGGACTGTGTCCACTACTGCAGAAGTTGTGATGGATGGGGAAGTGCTGTGAAATATGGAGAATTTAAAAATTCTTTAATACCTTTTAGAGTTTTTTTTTTTAAATATTCCAGAAAACTATTTATGATATACTGTTAAGAAAAACAGAATCCTTGGGGCTGGGGATGTGGCTCAAGCGGTAGCACGCTCCCCTGGCATGGGTGCGGCCCCGGGTTCGATTCTCAGCACCACGTACAAAGATGTTGGGTTCACCGAAAACTAAAATGTAAATAAAATATTAAAAAAAAAAAATAAAAGAAAAGAAAAGAAAAACAGAATCCAGGGCTAGTGTTGTGGCACAGTAGTAGACGGCTTGCCTAGCACATGTGAGGCACTGGGTTTGATCCTCAGCACCACATAAATAAATAAATAAACAAAATAAAGCCACAATGTCCATCTACAACTAAAAATATTTTTAAAAAAGACAGAATTCAAAACGACAAGATATTTGGGAAATGGAATTATGTCTAAATAATATTTTGTTTTATACTTTGATAAAGTTTGTATTAAAAAAATAATAATTTATATTACTTTCATGATCATGAAATAAAATCCCATTTTCCCTCTGAGAAGAAATCAGAGACAGGGGACTTACCTGTCCAATTTGTGGAAACATACTGAAAGACACGGGCACCATCACCCCCATCACCAGGAGAGTACAGGACAGTTTTAGGGTCCATAAGGATTGTGGATTTTGCAGGAAAAACTGGGTTCTAGAAGACACCAGGTAAAGCTCACAAATTTTACTAAACATTTTGGGGCTGGCCTGCTCTCATGGTGGCTAATCCCGCCTCCTGTGTAGCTGCAGGCCCAGGCCTTGGTTACCATACAACCCATGAGCAGGCAGTGAAGCAGCCACACTGGCAGCTCAACATGCAGCAGCGCTAGGAGATGAGTGCTCCTGCCCTTGCTCGTCCGACCCCAAAGCCTGGGAGGTCTGTGTGGTCACCAACCCCTCCACAGAAATGAGGAAACAGAAGCACTGGGTTTTGTTCAGGTAAAGCAACCTGCCCCAAGCCCCACAGCACAAAAGGTCAGACTCCAGAGCCTCCATTGGTCCAGACAAGGATGTGACACTGACCTTGACCTTGGGAGAGTGTAAGAGACAGTATAACATGCATGGAAGCCCAGCACAGTGGTCTGAGACCAGGATCTGGTGGAGGCTGTACCCTCCTGCCTCAGCCTCCAGGTCTCTGGGATTATAGGAATGTGCCACCATGCCTGGCTCTCGAGCTCATTTAAAACCTGCTCATTTGGGGGGAGAGGGGAGCTTGAGCAAAGTTCATAGCACATCAGAGCTGGGCAAACCTGCAAATCATCCAAATCTATCATTCTAGAAGTAAGGGATGTGGCTCAGAGAGTCCTCTGACATGCCCAAGGACACAGAGCAGACTCAGGGCAGGGCCTGGGCTAGCTTCCAGGATTGCTGCAATGTGCATCTCTGGATTTCCACACCTCCCCTGATCAATCATCTTAACTCTGAGAGGTGCTTAGCAGGAAGTTCACTGAAGCCCCCTCCTCCCACTCTCCCTCTAGTCTCAGTATCAGACAAGTTTTATAAGAGGTTTGACCTTCAAAATGTTATTCCTACTTAGGGAGATGGAATGTCCCTCTTACCTGTTTCTTTTTGGTACCAGGAATTGAAACCAGGGATACTAACCACTGAGCCACATCCCAGCCTTTTTTATTTTTTATTTTGAGACAGGGTCTCACTAAATTGCTTGGGGCCTCGCTAAGTTGCTAAGGCTGGCTTTGAACTTGGGATCCTCCTGCCTCAGCCCCCTGAGCTGCTGAGATTACAGGCATGTGCCACTGTGCCCAGCCCCTCTTACCTTTTAAAAAAGTAGGTGAAGACTTCAGGAATAAAAGCCGAGGTCCCAAACAGCACTGCCCTGGAGATTGCTGTTTCTCTAACAGCCTGATAAAGACGCAAAGAGAACAGCTTAGGACACCGAGTGAAATGAAAGGTCTTGTGACAGAGATGAGCCAACACAACTCCCTTTCCCACCCAGAAAAAGAAGGCACTGGAAATAAGTGAGTGACACTTTCACTGTCCTCTCCAGGCCAGGTGCAGCAGGATGGCAGGGCTGGCGCCAGGAGGAGTAAAAGAGGATTTATCTCCCCGAACCCACAAATGTCTCCATCAGGCCACACAACCACCCAAATGAGCTCCCACCACGTAGGAACCAAGGCAGCTTCCAGACAAAGCCTCAGAACCAGATGGCAGCCTCGCTGGAGGGAACCTTGGATCTGCCCCTTCTGTTCACGGTGTAATTTCCTCTCAACCCAGGTCTCTGCCTCATAGCCTAGACCTGGACCTGCTCCCCAGGGTTCCTTCCTACCCATGGGGATGTCAGCAGAAGCCCAGCTGAGTATGCTGCTACAGCACCGCCCCTCTCAAGACCAAATGTCAGGACCCAGCCCTCACCTGTGGGACATAAAGTGTTCTACAGGACCAGGGGGCAGCTCAGTGGTAGAGGCTTGCCAGCACGCCCAGAACCATGGGGAAAAAGTTTTTTTTAAAGTGTCATCTTTTGGGGCTGGGGATGTGGCTCAAGCTGTAGCGCGCTCGCCTGGCATGCGTGCGGCCCGGGTTCGATCCTCAGCACCACATACTAACAAAGATGTTGTGTCCACCAAGAACTAAGAAAAAATAAATAAATGTTAAAATTCTAAAAAAAAAATTCTCTCTCTCTCTCTGTCTTTCTCCTCTCTCACTCTCTAAAAAAAAATGTGTCATCTTTTTTCTCTACTGTATCTTGCTCCATGTGTTAAATATTAAACATTAAATTCCATATATTAAGTCAGGTGCAGTGGTGCACGCCTGTAATCCCAGCAAACCAGGAGGCTGAGGCAGGAGGATCACAAGTTCAAGGTCAGTCCCAGCAATTTTAGAGAGACCCTAAGCAACTTAGCAAGACCCTGTCTCAAAATTAAAAAAATAAATAAAAAAGGCTGGGGATGTGGCCCAGTGGTTAAGCACTCATGGGTTGAATCCCTGGTACACACACACACACACACACACAAAAAAAAAAAAAATTCCATATGTTAAACACTTAATGGTATAATTGTATGGATTATAAGCACAAAACCATGAATTCTTGAGCGCAATTTTAGGGACTCTGAAGAGAATATCTGACTATAAAATGGTTCACATGTTAACTTTTTTCGTACCAGGGATTGAACCCAAGGGAGCTTTGCCACTGAGCTGCATTAGCCCTTATTATTTTTTAAAATGGCTGGTCTCAAACCTGTGATCTTCCTGCCTCAGCCTCCTGAGTCAGGACTATGTTGTTGTGCCTAGCTTTCACATGTTAACTTCAGAGCCAGCCCCTGAGCAGACAAGCAGCACTGTCCAGTGCTCAAGAACAGGCAAGGGCTGGGGACGTGGCTCAGTGGAAGGATACTTGTTTAGCATGTGTGAGGCCCTGACTTCCACCCCTAGTACCAAAAAAATGTACAGGCACACCTTTCCCGCCTCCCCTGCGCTCCTTCCGCCCCTTGCTGTTTTCCAGACTTGGTACAACCTCCCTTCCCAGGCTCCTCTCCTGGGGCCTGCGGCCTGCCCTCTGCTCATACCACCACCCACAGACCGTAACAACACACACCCACACTGGGCTCCAGGCGTCCCTGGGCAGGGATGGCCCTTCCCCACACAAGATCAGAAGGAGCTGAGAGGGTCATTTTTAAAATAAGTTTCAAGAACATGAAGTAAGATCCTTTGGCTTCAGGAAAAGAACAGGGGCTGCTGAGCATGGCATTTCCACGCCGGTGGGCAAGATGCCTCTGTCCACCTGTCCTGTGTGTAAAACAGAAGGACATTCCAAACAAGATGCCCGTCATGGGTAGACTCACCCCTGTTTGCAAGTGAGTGGCTTACAAGGCCAGGGGGGAACAACTGGGACCGACCTCCTGAAATCTGACCCCAGGTGCCTTATTACAATCAGATACTGCTGGTTACGCAGTTTCTGAAATTTTAGCCAAACAAAATAAGCCTTTCAGTGACAGGGAAACACAGAAGACTGCTTACGCTTACGCACAGTGGCAGACGCTATTCTTAAGAGACAAATACTTTTTTTTTTTTTAAAGCAGATTATCAAGCCTTTTTTTTCTTTTCCCCCCTCAATTGGCCCTTATGCAAGAAATGAAATTTCTGCTGGTGAGACAGACTCAGGCCTGAGCTCCCTGCCCTTGGGAGCCTGGGTGGGTTCTCCTGGAAGCAGAGGTTCTCACTGATAAGGGCTTGGGTCTCCAGAGCCCAGCTGTGCCAGGCAAGCAGGAGGAGCTAGGCGGCCATGTGCTGGCCCTCGCTCTTCAGCTGTATGAATGGCTCAAGGCAATACCACCACCTGGAAGTTAAAACTGAGTGGAAAATCAAGCATGCACGAGACCCTGGAGTCACTTCCCAGTATTGGAAAAAAAAAAAAAAACAGAAAAAAAATCTATATGCATATTTATACATATATGTAATGTATTTATATGTATATAAGTACACATACACATACATCTGTGTATATAAACATGCATATGTATATGTATAAATATGGGCATATATGTATAAGTATATATGTGTATATAATTTTAAAAGTCCCTATCCAAAATGAAACTACCATAGACCATTCTAGTTTCTTATAAATGAAACACACATGGAGGCTACTTGCTGAATTGAACAAAAGAATAAACCAATGTTAAAAACGATTAATAATTGAGGACAATTAAATGAGTTTGACTTCAGAGGACTGGATTTCTTTCCCAGGCCCATCCTTGACAACAGACTGGTCTCTACAGATGAAGATGGTAGAGAAATCTACTGTGAGGTGGACAGAGAGCAGGAGGGCAGGGCAGGCTGGGAGGGGGTGGTCTCCAAGAGGGCCCCAGGCAGCACACGCTGGAAGGATGGATACTGAACGGAAGGAGGAGGCCTCACACTAGCTCCTACAATGCCCCCCATGATGGTCAGACTTACGGACCAGCTTGGCAAAAGTACCCAGTTATTGAACCAAACATTAACCAAGCTGCTGATGTGGGGTGTTTTGCTATGGGATATGTTAACCACAATCTGTTGACACAAGGGAGAAGACCCTCCTCCATATGTGGATGGCCGTTAAAGACCTTAAGGGCAAAAACCGGTCTCCCAAAGAAGAAACTGCCTCAAGACAGAAGCACTGTCTAAACCAACGTGCCATCTTCTAAACTTCAGGGTGTAAAATGCAGAAACTCTTGGTGGCATGGGGTGGGGGATGGGAACAAGAAAAGAGGAAACAGAAAATCCAACTCTGCCCAAAGGGCCAGCAGCTGAGCTCCAAAGTCCCTGTACCTTTCTTCCAGCTCTTCTGGAACGTCCTATGACATTGCCATCCTTGTCCATGACCTCAATCCCTTGGACAGGCTCCAAACTCCGAGAAGCAAAAACATTCATTCCACTGACTTGTGCTGTGGATGTTAGGAAAAGAACATGAAACCAAAGGAAGAGCTTCAGCCCAAAAAAAGGACATCTTTAAAGGGCTGTGTCCATTTCCAGCCCTTCTTGGACAGTTGCTTTCCTCCTGACCCTCAAATGGTCACCTCCCACAGGCCCAGCAGACCACTTAGGCTTTTGTAACACAATTTTTCCAATGATGTCATTCTGCCAACTCTTCAAACTGCTTTGATTCCCAAACCCAAATGTGGAACATGAACTAGTGAACTTGCAGGCTGGCGAACACAAAATATTCAGTGAATACCTCTGCCACCCCTTCTGGAGTCCGATCGCTTGCTAGGTTGGAATTCCTATACTAGTGCTTGCTTACTGTGTGACTCTCAGCAAGTGACTTAATCTCCCTATGCCTCAGTCTCTTCACCTGTAAGTGGGAAGAATATTTCCTACCATAAGTTGCTGTCAGGATTAAGAGGTGGAAATAGAGGGTTTGTGCAGATATTCATTAGAACGTGGTACGTGGGGGCTGAGGGTCAGCTCCAGGGTAGAGTACTCGCCTAGCATGCATGTGGCCCTAGGTTTGATCCCTAGAACTGAAGGGAAAAAAAATGTATTTGTGTTTCCAGGCTTGAGTTTGTCCTCTGAATTAAAAGGGTATCTACAGAGAAAGTGCCATCTCTCAAACCACAGACCCCATCTGGGCTTGGGGCCCTGGTAAGTTGCAGACGGTGGGGGCCATCAGTCTCAATGTGGCCCAGGGAGCCAGGGTCTCTGGAGACAGAGGAAAACTCAGAGCCCACAACAACAAACAGAACTGCATGTGCCCAGCCCTTATAACTCACCAAGAAAGACAATCGGTAAGGCTCTTTTGATCCAAGGGTTATCCAGATGATACTTCATTTGTACCAAATGTGGAATTAACTAGAAAGAGAGAAAGATCCTAATTGCACGGAAACAAAAAAAAAAAATCAGCCAAACACACCTAAAAGCAAAGCAAAAACACTGACCTAGTCCCAGGGCAGATGGTGGCCAGTGAGTACATGCATTTTTTTTTTTCTTTTAATGGTGCTGGGGACTGCACCCAGGGCCTTGCATGTGCTAGGTAAGTACTCTACCACTGAGCTACACTCCCAGCATTTTCACTTGTTTGAATTCTTGTGACACTGAGGTGTTATCTTTGTTCATTCTAGGAGGAGGTGAGGGCTTGCTTAGCTTATATACTTCATCCAGAGTCAGAGAGCTGCGAAGGGCTTGAGCCAGGATGGGAATTCAGGCTTGTCTAACTCTAGTCCACATTTTTAACCATTTCAGTGTCTGGGCATTCAAAGCAACACATAACTTGAACAATACATCTGTGCAGCATAAGTTAATTTTTAAAAAGATAACAGTACTAACTACAGTCATCCCTCAGTATCCATAGGGGATTAGTTCCAAGACTCACCCGGGATGTCAAAATCAGAGGATTCTCCAGTCTCTTATATAAAATGACATATTATTTGCATATAACCTTACCCTATCCTCCCATAAACACACTCCAGATTTCTTATAATGCCTAATACAAGGTATATGTGATATAAATAACTATTATACTATACTACATTGTTTAGGGAATGATGACAAGAAGAAAAAAAGCATTTACATATGTTCAGTTCAGACACAATTTTTTAAAAAAATATTTATTTATTTTTTTTTAGTTGTAGTTGGACTCAATATCTTTGTTTTTATGTGGTGCTGAGGATCGAACCCAGGGCCTCGCACGTGCTAGGTGAGTGCTCTACCGCTGAGCCACAACCTCAGGCCCGTGACACAATTTTTTTAAAATACTTTCAATCCACAGTTGGTTGAATACACAGATGTGAACTCAAAGGGCACACTGGGCATGCCTAGAAATTCAGAGTCCTGATTTTGAGGTGACAGGCCCACAGTCACTTTCCTATTCACACCTCCCAAGTCGTTTAGGTCAGAATATAAATTTATGGGCTGGGGATGTGGCTCAAGCGGTAGCGCGCTCACCTGGCATGCGTGCGGCCCGGGTTCAATCCTTAGCACCACATACAAACGAAGATGTTGTGTCCGCCGAGAACTAAAAAATAAATATTAAAAATTCTCTCTCTCTCTCTCTCTCTGTCCCCCTCTCTCTCTCACTCTCTCTTTGAAGAAAAAAAGAATATAAATTTATAATCAGAATAAAGCTTTTTTGATTCTGAGGAATAAAAAAGATTTGACAGGTTGTAAAAATACCTACCCCAAAGAAGGTCGAAGAAGCAATTACTCCTGCTCCTAATAATATTTTTGCTGGTAGACTGTGACTCTTAAGGAAAAGAGAAGTACATAGTTAGCAAATGCACAGTTTTGCCCAGCAAGAATAACTTAAGCCACAACAACAGAAACCTAAACCACACACACAGACAAAAGAAATAACCTCCAGAAGAAAGAACCCCAAATCACGTCCCTTCTGGGTTTCAGGACACTCACGTAACTTGCGTTTCCGTTGACCATGGTGAACCCTGTGGTGTAGGCATATAAGGAAACCTGCAGAATGAAAGGCATGCGGGCCTCAGCCTGGTTTCAAGCACAACAGAACCCAACACCAGGAGACAGGAGGAGCTACTACCTGGGGTAAAATCATGGACTTCATCCCTTTTGCTGGCATCATTGACAAAAATACCTTGAAGAAGAAAATGGAGCAGAGTCGCACATGTCTGGAGGAGGCAGAGCTGGCAGCAGCACAGGACTTCCCAAGGGAGCCGCAGCACTGCACCCCCCAGGGGCTAGGACAGCAGGAGGGTGGCAGGTGCACGACTGCCAGTGGACAAGCCCGGATGGGCGAGCGAGCAGCCAGCAGGCCCTGAACCAAAGGCTCCGAGGACACTGGGAGCTCCTGCCAGCCCACATACTTGCCAAGGAGGGAAACAGCGGGCAGGTGTGGCGCAGTGACCACCCAGGGATGTGACAAAGAGCACCTCCCAGTGGGAGGATGTTCCTGGAAGGGAGTTCAGTGTCCCAGCTGAGAAGCCCTGTGGGGGTGGCGAGGGGGGGGGGACTTGGGGAAAGAAGGTGCTGTTAGTTTAGACCTGAATGTTTCCCAGAGGGACTGTAACTGTGTGTGTTAAAAGCTTGGTGACACTAGGAGGTTGTGGACACAAAGAGGTGGGCCTGGCGTGAGGTCTTTGTGTGACTGGGGGCATGACCTCAGAGAGGACTGTGGGACCCCAGCCTCTTCTTTTCTCTGTTTTGCTCACAGGTGAGCCGTCCTGTTCCCCCCGGCACTTCCACTGTGCTGGGATGCCTCGCCCCAGGCCCAGGAGCAACGCAGCAACTGACCACGGACCAAGACCTTCAAAGCCAAAGTAAATCTTTTCTTTCATAAGCTGACTGACTATCTCAGGTATCTGTTCTAGTGACAGAGAGCAGACTGACACAAGAGGTAACAGACAATCACAGGAAGCCTGTGACTAGCTGCACATCTTAACTCACGGGCCTCTTCTATGGTGCTTTGTATAGTAAGAGACCTGAAAAAGGACACCCTGGTGACATGGGCCTTCGAGAAGCCTGAGGCCTCACTGGTAAGTGGGGTGGGGGTGCCGATACAGGAACAGTAACAAAGGCCACAGGTGGGGTCCACGGCCATCGTGTTTCAGGAAGGCCCAGGACAAGGATCCAGCGCTGGGAGACGTGGCCAAGGTCAAGAGACAGTTCACATCCTCCCAAACCTTAGAGTGAAGGACGGCTTACTCACCGTGGGCACCGTCAAAGGCAGGAAAGCTGGCAGAGAAGAGCAGAGCATCAGTGACCATGGCTGCTAAGGCAGAGGTGGCCTCCAGGGTGCCACTCCCCGAAGGCCCTTCTCCAGCCTCCCCAGGGCTCAGGCCTCAGGAAACGATTTATACTCCTCACCTCACATAAAAATAACAACCAGGTGCACATGGCAGAAAGTTAAAACAGCACAGTACAGAAAGACCTAAGCAGAGGGCTGCCACCAGCCCTCCCAGGCCCTCTCCCTGCAGGCCAGCGGTGTACACACTTATCACCTTGCAGGTGAAGTCTGGGATGGTCTCTCAGAATGTCCACAAAGCCTTGCTTACAGATGGCCTTACCATCCACACAGGGTCACTATGCACTACCTGATGCTAAGTTTTCCCCACTTAATGCTATTTTTTTGGTACTGGGGATTAAACCCAGGGTACTTAACTGCCGAGCCACATCCCCAGCCCTTTTTATTTTTTGAGACACAGTCTCACTAAATTGCTGAGGGCCTTGCTATATTGCTGAGGCTGGCTTATAAGTGGCCCTTACAAGAGGCCAGCTCTGATCCTGCTTTGACAAGCTGCATCCTGGCTTGCTCCCGGGGCCTGAGGGTGCAGAGTGAGATTTACCCACAGGCCTGGTGCTTGCTCCAAAAGCCCAGATCTTTCCACAGGACTGAATCAGCTCTGGGCCCTGAGCCTGCTGTTCACTGTCAACACCAGACCTTTCAAGTATTCTTTTGAAGCTGTGGCTTCCAGAATTTCCACAGATACCCCTTTAGGGAAAAAGTAGAATAAAATAGACCAGGCAATCAGGCAAGGTGGCACAGGCTATAATCCCAGAGACTCAGGAGACTGAGGCAGGAGGATTCTAAGTTCCAAGTCAGTCTTACAATTTAGCCAGACCCTGTCTCAAAAAATAAAAGGGATGTAGCTGAGCAGTCGAGTGGGTTCAATCCCCAGTACCACAAAAAATAAAATAAATAAATAAAGCAGGCAGGGTTTTCTGCAAATCATATCTTCCAGCACACTTCTTCTTCTTCTTTTTTTAGTTGTAGATAGACACAGGATCTTTATTTTTATTTATTTATTTTTTATGTGGTGCTGAGGATCGAACCCAGGGTCTCACGTGTTCCAGGCGAGTGCTCTATCACTGTGCTACAACTCCAGCCCTTCCCAACCCACTTCTGACACGAGAACCAGCTCACCTGCAGGTCGGAAGAGAATGGGTATCAGCCTGCTGCTGTCAGGATGCACGGTTGACTTCAGAGGGACAGATGCAAAGGTTAGTTGGAGGTTTAGTTTTGTGATTTTAGGAGACTAAAAACTAGAAAGGAGCTGAAACTTACGAGGCTTCTTTTCCAAGCATCTTTAATCTAAAAAGAAAAAAAAAAAAAAAGAACAAGCAATAGCCTTTTTTTCATACTGGAGATTGACCCAGAGGTGTTTTAACATTGAGTCGTATCCCCAGTCCTTTAAATTTTATTTAGAGACAGGGTCTTGCTAAATTGCTGAGGCTGGCCTTGAACCTGTAATTCTCCTGCCTCAGCCTCCAGAGACACTGGGATTGTAACACGCCCAGTTCTATGTGGTTTATGAGATGGAATTCTAACTACATTTAATAAACTAACCCAGTTTTGCAAGGCTGATCCCTAGGTAGTATGTACAGTGACAAGACTGATGGCCAAAATGCCACCTGATTTCACACCATGCACAATGGAACCACCTAAAGGCAACTGGGCACAGCTGAGCACATGGGACATACCCTCTGGTCATCCACGTCGAATCTGTATGCATCTTCACTGGTAAACAGCAGTTGCCTCGATTTTTCTATTTTTTCCTGTAATCAAGTACCAAGAAATCAGTCATCTCAATACTGTTCAGATTTTTACACAATGAAGAGTCACAACTCACCAGCACACACAGAGGAGTCATCAGTATTTTAGCTGCACACCTGATTTCAGTGTGCAGACTAAGGCTCTCTACCCTGAAATTTCCCATTAGGATGGTCCCACATGTCACTCAGATTTAAACCTTCCAGGTTCCTGGACAGCTCCAGCAGCAGCCCTGCTTGTGTGACCAATTTCCCAGCTTGTTGACATCAACTACCTTCCTGGTTGCACAAATCAGAACACTGGCAGTGCCTCCTGTCTTACCTACCTCAGGTCTAATCAGTTCAATTCCCTGAACTTTTCTTAATCTGAGAAAGAAAATCAAATACAAAGGACAATACAATCTTAGTTTGACTGCCTACTCTAATCCCCTTACCCAGCAGTAGCAACTGTGAAACATTCGGTTATATTTGCTTTCATTTTATTTTTCAAAACCAATTATTCCCTGCTATCACTACCACTACCCCCACCGGCCCCATCTCATCCCTCCCCATCCTATCAGATGAGTTCAGGTTCAGGTATACCTTTCCAGTCCCTATTTTTATACTTACATATACATGAACACATGTATCCATTAACAAATAGATAGCATATACTTTCTGCATCTTGCTTTTTCCATGAAACTTTACAGACATCATGTTTTGTTTTGTTTTGTTTTTTGTGTATGTGTGTGTATGTGTATGTATCTAGTCAAACCCAAGGCCTTGTACATACCAGATAAGCTCTCAACCAATGAGCTACATCCCCAGGCCTCAGTGTTTCACTAAGTGGAAACTTAGAATATATACAATGTTAAATGGAAAAACATAGGGCTGGGGGTGTGGCTCAGTGGTAAAGTGTTTGCTTAGCATGTGCAAGGCCTTGGGTTTGATCCCCAGCACCACAAAAAGACACACACACACACACACACACACACACACACACAGATAACAAGTTCATCACTTTAAATGGCTATTCGGCGTGACCCTGCAAGGATATGCCACATTATCTATTTTCGTGCTGATGGGCACTCAGGTAGTTTCTGGCTTTTATAATAAAACTGCAAGAAACCTCTTGAGCATGAATATGCAAGTCTCCCTTAGTGTCATACCCTGAAGGGTTACTGGTGACAGGGCATCTCCTCTTCATGCCCAGTGACGCTGGTTCAAACCCTCATCTTTCATTGGGATGACGAGCCATCCTCAGAACGCCCTTGCCCGCATACTGACCCTTCTGGCTGTCACCACAGAGACCAAACCCTCATCACCTGGCCTCAGAGGACAAATGCCAATCCTGCTCAATTCAGTGACACACAAAGTCCTGCAAGATCCTCTTCTTGCATCAAAGGCCCAGTGACCTGGTGCTATCTGGCCTTCTGCCCTGGGCTTTGCTGACGGCCCCTTGCTGACAGTTCTGCCCCCACTGGCTCCCACGCCAGCCTTCTCTCACCAACCCAGACACAGCATCCTGTTCCCTTGGGGCCTCGGTCAAGGCTGCTGACTGGCTCTGGCTGCCTGTCCTGTTACACAGAAAGATAGTCTCGATTCTTTCCGACTTTCTGACCCTGCCAGATGCAGGCATGCTATTCCCTGCTAACCAGATGTATGCTTATTTTTATCACTCTTTCAATCTAACAAGCCCATTTGAAAGGAATAAAACACACACACACACACACACAATCTTCAAATTCAAAATAAATTCACCATCTCTGAAAACAAGAACTTACAATTGAAGTGATCAAGTTTGTAGGATCTAATAATTCTGTCCACTGAAGAAGCCTCTGAACAAAAGACTGAAGGAGAAAAGACCAGAAGGGTTAACAGAAAAACAGACATATGGATGCAGTAACAGTGAACTTCTTCTTTTTAACTTATTATGGCCTTGTCTTGTGTTCTGCCTTTTAGAGGATTCACCTCCTGGAGTCCTCATAACATGCCCATTTTAGAGGTAAGGAAGCTGAGGCTTAGAAGGGCTCCTGGATGGAGTCCAGGCCACACAGCCAGGATCAGGCAGCAGTCTGTGACTGACCACTCAGGATCAAGCTGTCATGGAGTGTTAACATCCCAGACTCTGCAATCAAACACACCTGCGTTCACATCCCATTTATGACCTCAGAGGAACAACCTCTGAGGTCAAAATCTTTTTCCTGGACCTCTGGTTTCTGTAAGGCTTATTAGCCCCAATAGTAAAGAACAGATAGATACTCCAGTAAAGCCTCAGTCAGTGCAGCTCAGATCACATGCAGAGAAGAGGCTCCCAACCAGGCCCCAGACTTTGCAGGGATTCAGCCTTTAAGTCCTGGCTCTACCTAGAGAACTTGAATTCCTGATCCACTCTCAAATTCTTCACCCAAAATAAAGCTAGGCTCTACTTTTAAGTCAAGGCTGCAAGGAATGCCTGAGGCCCCATTGTCCAGCTTGCCCTGTGTGTTATGGAGCACGGGATAGACTTAGGTATAGCAAACACACCTAGCTTTTAAGAACTGTACCAAAAATGACTCTAATAATGAGAGGCTGAGACAAGAGGATCGCAAGTTCAAAGCCAGCCTCAGCATTAGCGAGGGCTAAGCAACTCAGTGAGACCCTGTCTCTAAATAAAATACAAAATAGGGCTGGGATGTGGCTCAGCGACTGAGTGCCCCTGGGTTCAATTCCTGGTACCAAAAAAAAAAAAAAAAAAGTTTTTTAGATTACATGTTGAAATGCTATTTCACATCTGTTGGGGGTTAAATAATACATTATTAAAACTGGTTTCACCTGTTTCTTTGTACTTTTTAAATGAGGCTTCTGGAAAATTTTTTAAGTACCTCTGTGGCTCAGGTCACATTTCTATCAGCCCTGGAACTTCCTGGGCAGGGACGACCTGGGGTCTCACTGAGTGGCTGGCCTATCAAGGGTGGGAGGCCAGGAATCCTGTTCAGACCAAACTGCTGCTGGGCAACTCAGGACGCACACACCAGTAGGACCAGGCTGGGGGTGGGGGTGGGGAATCTGGGTGGTGACCTTGTGGCGACCCTCCCCAGCCCAGTCTGGGGAATAAAGGATGCACACTGACAGCCGCCGTGGCCACCCGCAAGCTTGGGTTACCCCTCCGTCCCCCTTTCCGGGCCTGCGATGGTGGTGGGAGGGGGATGCAACCTCCTGGGCCATTCTGGGACTAGGGACAGGAGGCGCAGGGCAGCCACGTGGGCCGCCAAGGTCGCCAGGGCCAGGCGGCTTCCACGCGGCGCGCCCTCCCCGCCCCCAGCCGCGCGGGCCCGGGCGTACTCGGCGTTCCGCGATCCAGAAGCGCACGTTGGGCTCCATGCGTCTGGCGGCGCTGGCCTCGCGCTTCCTCCTCTTGCTGGGACCTACGTAGGGTTGGAGTGGCCGTCGCCGCCAGGCCGGGCGCGGAGGAGGAGCTGGGCAGCGTGCCCCGCCCACCCCCGCGCGCGCGCCGCTTCTTGTCACCGCGCGCACGCGCCCCGGCTCCGCGCCGGGTTCCGAAGAGCCAGCTACTCCTGCGGGCAAAGTCTGCCAACCCCGCTCCGCACCTTAGCGGGTCCTACCAGGCCCGATCACGTGGGGAATCTCAGTACTTGTCGAGAAGACCCTGGAAGCAATGCGAGGGGCCGTCCACAACCTTGCCCTCCGCTCCTGCCGCGCCTTCCACCGTGCGCCCGAGCTTTTGGACATTACCCGCGAAAATCCCTTCAGTTGCCCTTAATGACCGGTGCGCACTTGGTGGGTACAGTCTGCAAAGCCCAGTGAAAAATGAAAGCGACGCACTCCTTAGTCAACATTCACAATTGCAAAAGGGCAAAGGCGGAATATTAAACCCAGGGTAGAGACCTGCTGCCAGTCCCTGGCATCTGGCTCTGGGTTCATTGTTTTCCAGCGTTTGGCCAAATCTACTTCTTTTGTTGAATGTCAGATTAATTACCATTTGTAGAGGAAAATGTCTTCCCTCCTCTGTCCCATCCCTGTCCTCCATCATCAGGGTGGGTGGAGAGTGAGTGCACTTGAGTTCATGGAAGCCACCAATGTGTGTGTTCAGAGGGCCTCCAAAGTCCTGGGCTAGGGGACCCTGCACAACACTTAGCTGTTCAAGTTAATGTCCCCTGGTCTGTATTCTCATCTAAAATGAGGATAACCCATTGTTCCAATGTTATGGGTTTGCTGAAGGTAAGGGGAATAAAACCTGTAAATGACCCCACAGCGCCGGATCCAGTGCAAACGCTCAGTATTGGCAATGAACCAGGGGCCTAGTTCTCCTCCCCGGTCTTTCCACCCAGGAGGGGAGTCCAGCTCGGGACTTGCTTCAGGTCTATGTGACTTCACTGGTATTTGCTCATCTGGCTCATGTTCTAAAGTCTTGAGCAGTTCTCTTCTGGGAACCCTCCCCTGACCTCTCTGCTGGGTAAGCTGTGCCCTCTTCAGTGTTCCTTCCCATATACCCACTGTGCCAGTGTTACAGCAGCTGCATGGTCCTTGTTGGCTCTGCCCTTAAGGTGTCACAAATCCAACGCAGCTGGCCTCTCTGCTTCCCCACCTTAGAGCCCTACAGTTCAGTTTTTTTGTTTGTTTGTTTGTTTTGTTTTTTGTACCAGGTACTCAGGGATTGAACCTAGGGGCACTTAACCACCACACCACATCCCTAGCTCTTTTTAGAGACAGGGTCTTGCTAAATTTCTCAGGACCTCACATAGTTGCTGAGGCTGGCTTTGAATTTGTGAACCTCTTGCTAAAGCCTCCTGGGTCCCTGGGATTACAGGCATGCCCTCAGTCTATCTATTTTTTTTTTAAGACTTTTTAAAGTTGTAGTTGGACACAATACCTTTATTTTATTTATTTTTATGTGGTGTTGAGGATTGAACCCAGGGCCTAGAGCCACAACCCCAGCCACTCAGGTTGTCAATTTTTTCCCCCAAAACCTTTCAGATAAATGTTCCCTGTTCTACAACAGATTCCAAAGTCCTTATCTTGCCCAAGAGGCCCCCTATGAGGCCCTATTGCTATTCTCACTATTCATGCTCCACCTCCGCCTTCCTAGCAAGTCTTCTTCCACTCCGAGCTCACCCTTGTCTCAGTTCTCTTTCCATGCCTCTGCCAGGAAAACCCTTATTCCCCCACCACTCTCATTTGACTCTCATAAAAACCCTGAGATAGGCACAACTATTGTCCTCATTTTTAGATTAGAAAACTGAATCATTATAGTGGCATACTCTGACAACCCTACCTAGAACCCTGCAACTCTGCTCCAGACCCTTGCCTCGCCCTACTTTCCTTCCTAATACTCTGTATTTCTATTGTTTATTGTGCTTTCCCTCTGAATTGAGTGCATAAAGTGGGTTTTTTTTTTTTTTTTTTTTAGTTGTCAATGGACCCTTGTTTTGCTTATCTGTATTCGGTGCTAAGAATCCAACCCAGTGCCTCTCACATGCCAGCAAGCCCCTACCATTGAGCTATAATCCCAGCCCAGGCAGGGTCTTTTTTATTCATTCTTAAGCTTCCATAGCAGTGCCTAGCACATGGTCGCCACTGAAACAATGTTTCCATATCTGTCTTGCCCCTAAATGAGTTCCCTGCAAGTGGCTCCTGTGTTAAATGCCCAATGAGTATTTGTTGATATGTAATCAGAGGAGGAGGAGTAGAGCCCAGAATAAGCTGACCCAACAGCTGATGTTAAAGATGCAAATATTGTGCCGAGAGGATCGCAAGTTCAAAGCCAGCCTCAGCAACTTAGTGTGACCCTGTCTCAAAAAATAAAAACACGGGCTGGGGTTGTAGCTCAGAGGTTCAATGCTCTCCTAGCATGCGTGAGGCACTGGGTTTGACCCTCAGCACCACATAAAATATAATAAAGATAAAAGATATTGGGTCCACCTATAATTAAAAAATATATTAAAAAAATAAAAATAAACACACAGGCTGAGGATGTGGCTAAGTTGTTAAACAGCCTTGCATTCAATCTCTAGTACCCAAAAAAAAAAAAGATGCAGATATTTTTAAACGTTTATTTTTTATAATACATATCACTTTGAGCACTTCAAGAAAGCAAATAATTAAAATAATTTCAAAGCAATCCCTGGGTTTAATAATTCAATATATATCCTTTATAATCACACCTCATCAACTATGTAAACAATAAACTCAGAGATAGGGATCATGCATGATCAGTTACGTCACTTTGCCACCATGTTTTTTAAATAACATGATTCACAGTTCTTTCCATCACATATATCTCCATTTTGAGAGTTAACTTGGACTGCTAAGGTTAATAATGTAAAACTTATGATCTCTGTTACTTTAAAAAAAAAGCAGTTTAATACAAAGAAATTCAAGAAGAAATTTTCAGGACCATTGATCAGAAGCTTTAAGCACTTATTGTGCTACTTAGACGTAGACAAAGGTACAAGTAAGGCTAAAGAGTGTTTCCTTTATCCACTAAAGACATGATCTAAGAAACAGAAGCCAGGCCTTTTATGGAAACTTACTAGCCATCAAGATGATCCCAGTGACTCCTGATGTTAAGCAATTACTGTTAGAAAGGCTTAGCCAGTGTTACAGAAACAAAAACATTTAGAGTAATATATATAAATACAAGCATAATTAGGTTTTTCCTTCTATAAATAATCATCTTTGCAATGCTAAAAAGGTTCCAGCTGTGGCTCTCTCCTGGCATCAGAAGCTGTAGGGGCACGGAGCATGATCTACGGATTCACCTTCTCAAAGTACTCTTTGGAAGCCGCTGGACTTGGCTTGATCTGAAAATACAAAAATATTTTATAAATGTGTAACAGTGACTTTGGAAGCTGATAAGTTCCCAATTTTTAACCTAAACTTCTTTTTTTTTTTTCTTTTTGCAGTGCTGAGGATTGAACCCAGGGGCACTGTACCACTATTTCCCCAGCCCAAGCTGGCTTTGAACTTGTAATCCTCCTCCTCAGCCTCCCAAGTAGGTGGGATTATAGGTGTGTATCACCATGCCTGGTGTTCTTTACAATTTTTAAAAATCAGCCTGTTTCTTTAAAATATGTGGTCTCTGGCTCTGTAAACCCACCCCCACCCCACAGCCTCTCCCACTGCACAGTCTACCCCTGGTTCCCTGATAGGCTCCCTCTGATAGATATGCCCTTGAGGCAGAGAGGACCTGGGACCCTGTGCCGGATCCTGTCACTTTTGGGAAAAGAACTTACTGTAGGGGAATCTGGTGTCCAGTTTGCTGGGCAGACTTCTCCGTGGGTTTCCACAAACTGGAAGGCCTTCACCAGGCGCAGGGTCTCCTCCACGCTCCGGCCCACGGGCAGGTCGTTGACGCTCAGATGCTTGATGACTCCATTGGGATCAATTATGAAGAGACCTCTGCAGAGTTTCAGAATTTCTCCTCAGTAACACAACAGTACCAGAACTGAAACAACTGTCTAACTACCACCCTTTCCTGTCTTTAATTCTCCTTTTAACATAACATTTATTAAATTAAGTGCTGTCATATGTTTAAAATTGGAGTATATAATGTATAAAGAGCTTATCATCTCTTATTAAGGACAGATAATATGCAGGACTGAACCAGGCCACCATGGAAAACATGCAGGATAGTCCCTGAATGTCACATAGTATCTGAAAGTCACTGGACTAGAAAGAGCAAAGACTTCTTTACTTATTAATGACTTGGCCAGCATTCTTTGGGCAGCTGAATCAAACCCTGGCAAGAAACCACAGGCAAAGGGGAAGGGACAGAGATGTATTTTATCTGTATCCAACAAATACTTATTAAATGAGCAGATTATTGGATGGTTAGGGGAAATCCCATGGGAAATATCTGTAGCCAGAGCAAGCTGGCTCCAAGTCCACCAGAGCAGCTGTGGGCTCCTGACGACTGGTCACTCAGTGGTAGTGTGGCAGGCTGCCCACCCCACGGTGACTGTTTTCAGGCTCTGATGCACACAGTACACCCAACTCAGTGGTTGTAGCATCCCTCTCCTAAGGGTGTGGGAAGTCCAAGTGTTAGTCACTCGGGGAAAAGACACGTTCAAGAACACTCCAGGTGAAAGGGGCTTGTTCCTCCCCAGGCCTGGTGCTTAGGGGTCTCGCCTTTGAGGCTGAACCAGCCGTGGTAAGTGCTTCTGGAAGGGAGCCCCTGGCAGCAGCAGAGGCAGAGCAGGGAGGACACAGGGCCCACACACTCCAGAGAGGTTAACTTACTAGATTGATTAAAGATCATTGGTAATCCCAATATTGACCCTGGTGGGGGCTAACTTAAAAATCATAAAGACCCCACAGGGAAAGGGACCCTGAAAAAAGCCAGCCAACATTCTTTCTCCTGCTACTGCCACCTCCAAGGGAGCCAGCTTGTGATTTATTAAAGGACATAACAATGACCTTGACATCAACCAGGAGCTGCCCAGAGCTAAAATCTCAGTTGTAACCCAGGAGGAGAACAGGTCAGAGGGCAGCAAAGAGAGAGGGCAGGTTTTCTGAGTTCAGGGTGACTCCAGCAAAACAGGGAGGTACCTGGGGGTGGGGCCCTCCTTCCTGAGGTCAACTTCCGCTCAGTCCTCCCTCATCCCGCTCTGTTCTCCATAAGCTTCAGGATGCAGGGTAGCTCTTAACGCTCTGCTCCCCTCCTCCCAAGAAGGCTGCATCTGAGCATGCGACTGTGGGAGACTGAAAGCTTTTCACACCCAAAGGAGTCGAGGTTTAATCACAGATCAAGGGAGGGCAGAAATGGCATTCGGGGGCAGATCTCAGCTGTAATCGCTGCCAGGAACTTCACTAAAAGCTCCAGTTGCCCCACCACCAACCTGTGAGATATTCATCTTCACTGCAGTTAAAGGCAGACTGAGCTCCAAGAAGTAAATAGCTTTCTCAAAGAAACACAGCCATTAAGTAGCTGATTAAAAAAAAAAAAAAAAAAAAAATCAAGTCCAGATCTATTTGATTCCAGGGATATTTCTGTCACTGCACCAGAAGGTGGCCTCTTTGCCCTGCTACAGCACCTTCTCCAAACAGCCTGAGGGCTTCGCTGCCAAGAGGGGGGGGGTTGGCATGGTAGGGGTCCCCAGAGGTCCGGAGCAGTGTGCCCATGGAGACATGGACAGCTTTCTCCAGAACAGACACAGGCTGTGGATGAGGCACACCTGTATGGGCTACTTCTGAGAGACTGCGGGTTCTCACAGGAGGAATTTCATCAATGCTTATTCGGACTAAAATTAAGGAATTTTTGCTTTTAAAAATGATTTCCTAAAAAATTTTTTTTGTAAATAAATAAATAAATAAACAAGAAAAGGAAAAATAAAACATCCCACCACAGCAAAAACACAAGAAACACTTTGCCAGGGTCCGTGTAGGATGATATTGAACATGGAAAACCATTTGAATTCATAAGGAACAGACTCTTACCTGAGTGCAAGACCAGCACCTTCCAAAAGCACACCATAGTCCCGAGAAATTTGTTTGGTTAAATCCGACAGGAGAGCAATGTTCATGTGGCCCAAACCGCCATTCTAATAAGAACACAAAGGTGACTGGTTGTCTGTGCCACTCTCACAACCTTTTTGACCATGTACAATGTTTGAGACCACAAAAGTGTCAACAGGTAACAATAAGAGCAGGAATGAATTCTTCCTGCTGACTCACTTCCTCCTGGAGCAGACACTACTTTACAGATGAGGACACTGAGGCACAAAGGCGAAGTGCCTTCCAGAGGCAGGATTTAATAACCTAGCCGATACTATAGACCTTTCTTTTCCTAATTCTTAAAACATTCTTTGAATTGAAGACCAGTTTCTCAAACACAAAAATTAGACTAATAGACTCTGAATATTTCCATATGGATGGTCCTACAGCATAGCTAGAAATTTGGATTTTTCTAAGCAAAGTTCTAGGCAATACTGATCACACAGATCACCACAGTTCGACATGCCACCCAGTGTACCTGGGATCCACAGAGTACAGGCCTGAGGGAAGGTCAACAGACCCCAACCAAGTCCCCTGCTTGCTGAGCCTGTCTCCACCACAGTCTGTACCATGAAAAATACAAGAGTAGTGCGCTGTGCATATACATCAGAAAACAGACAGTTCAGCAGACTTTCCAGGTATGGAGAGACCTATAAACGGTTGGGGAAGTTGGGAAATGGAAAGGCTGAGCAACGGGTACAAAGTTACAGTTAGAAGGACTAAATTCCGGTGAACTACTGCACAGCACAGTGACTTCAGCCAATGACAGTATGTTCCAAAATAGATAAACAAGAGGATTTTAAATTTCCTCACCACTGATAAATATTTGAGGTACTGGATGTGTTAGCCTGATGTAATCATTCCACAATGTATATGTATACCTAGATCAAAATATTACATTGTACCTCGTAAACACACACAATGTTTTTATTGTATATTATATATTATCTGTCAATTAAAAAATAAAATACACTTGGAACAAGGCAGGTGCAAGAAATGAGGTGAGCAGGAGCCTACCTTCCTGGGTGTATTGATCCAGGCAAGGTGGGTGAAATGCGAATCCACCGAGACTGCAACCACTTCACAGTTCACGTCGTGAAACTCATTGGCTTTGTCACTGAAAGCAATGATCTCTGTAGGACACACAAAGGTGCTTGGAAAAAAAGTAAAACATTTCATCAGATAATGTATCAAGAATTTAAAATCTGAACAATAAGTAGTCTAAAAACTAGCTTGCTTTGCTCACAGGTGAAAAAGGCACATCGGTTAACCATCCTCACCAGACACCTGTGTTAACACCCGAAAAAGAACTTCTATCTCCTATCACTGTCCTGTTTAAGGAATTATACCAAAAGTGGGGGGCACATTTTAAGAATGCTCTTAAAAACTGTACCTAAATAAAGTAGCTTTAGAAAAAAAAATTATTATCATTAGTCTTTCCTTAGATCAGCAAAAACATCTTCAAAGACTGGTCTAGGGAACCACTGCTCCAAAGCCCCCAAGACAGAGTCACATTAAAATGCACCTTCAAAGGGAATGCCACTCCCTCCTACTGCATTACCACTGGTAAAGTAGCCCCAGATTAACAAGGCAATCAGTGACAAGTGGCCAGAAAGAGTCCTCCCCTGAACTAGAAGAGCAACTAAAAAAAAAAAAAAAAAAAACAGGAAAATGTGACAGAAATTGCACTTACAAATCCAAAGGGTAAAAGAAAAGCACCAAGTATTTCCCTTTAAAGTCATCAAGGTTTAGCTCTTTGAACTCTCCGTTGACAACAGCTGTACCCTTAAAATAGGGCGCGTGCTGAGTGACAGCAGGAGCATGGTAGGAGGAGCCTGGAAAAAACCCACACCCACATGAGTTCACCACTTGCTACACAGCATTGATTTGATTGTATTTAAACTTCCCATGATAATTAACTTGCAATATAAATTGTCTAGTAGTATGAATGAATGAAAATGTCTATCTTAAGTAAATTTTCCCTCCACAAAGTTCCCTCCACAATGTATATGTATACCTATATCAAAATATTACATTGTACCTCATAAACACACACAATGTTTTCATTGTATATTATATATTATTTGTCAGTTAAAAAATAAAATACACTTGGAACAAGGCAGGTGCAAGATGAGATGAGCAAGGGCCTCTAGATTGTGCTCAAACTCAATACAAAGTGCTATGGAGAAACTTCAAAAAGGAACAAAACAGTTAGGTGTGGATTTCAAGTTCAGGGCCTGCCTTGGCAATTAGGGAGACCCTGTCTCAAAATAAAAAATGAAAAAGGGCTGGGGATATGAGTGGTAGAACACCTTAGGGTTCAATCCCCAGTGCCATAATAAATAAAAAGAAAGACAAAGACAAAAACAAAAGGAACCAGAGGAAGACAAAGGCAGTAGGGGTAGAACTAGAGAAGGCAAGAGACGTGGGGAGGGATTCTAAATATTGTTCAGATTCTGCCAGGTCTAGAGGGGACAAGGCAAAGGCATGGAGGAATGGCAGGAACAGGACATGTGTGTCAAAGGAACTGCTTATGGCAATTTGGTTAGAATGAACAGAATCTAAAGGTCTGAAGAGAAGAAGAGCTGGAGACACAGCAAGCAAGAATGATGGAAGGCCAGGCCAGGCCAGTCACAGAGAGAGAACTGGGAGCCAGGAGAGGTTCTTCTACAGGAGATGAGCCCAGACAGCTGTTTTCCAGCAGATAAGTCTGGCAGGCGGGTAAAACTGATGTTAGGTGGTGATTTCAATTATCTCAGTGAGAGGAACTGAGGTGTGGCAGAGAGAACAGGAAAAAAAGAAAAAAGAAAAGAATGGATGCAAAAGATATGATAAAAGTGTAAAGGAGGCCTGGGGGTGTAGCTCAGTGGTAGAGTGCTTGCCTAGCATGCACCAGACCCTGGGTTCGATCCCCAGCACCTCAGCAGAAATAAAAAGCTAAAGAGGATTTGCTTCTGCCTGGGAATGAGGGACAAAAGAGATCCAGCGTTAAACTGTCTAGGACTGACACCAAGAGAAACAGAAGGAGCTGCTGGGGACAGGGATTGGGACTAGCGGAGGAAAGGTCCAAGCCTCTGGCATCAAATAACTACTAGATGTATTTTCAAAATTGTGAGAAACTTTAGAACATTCTCCTCAAACCATTACATATTAAACACTTATTTCTCAAGGACAAGACAAATCTTAAGGAGGCATTTTCAAATATCACTTGTTATCCAAGGGTGATCTTCACAAAGTCCAGTTTAGAGAATGAAGTAGAAAGCTCAAAAATGTCTAAGGTTCACACAAATATTGAAGGATGCCACTGAATAGGTCTGGCTCCCAAGTGGCCAGCTGGAGCCAGCAGACAGATTCGATTCCCAGTGGTGGCCACCAACCGCTCACATCTCTTCTTACACAGTCGGCCCAGAAGGCACCTGAGTGCCCCCACGCCTCTCAACAGAGGCAACCAATAAGGAAATGCAACACAGGCAAGAACAGTTTGCCTCAGTGATTCTCAGTCCTAGCTGCACATTAGAACTACCCAGCGAGCTTTTAAAATATACTGAACTAGGGCTGATGTTGTGGCCCAGAGGTACAGCACTCGCCAACAATGTATGAGGCACTGGGTTTGATCCTCAGCACCACATAAAAATAAAATATTGTGTCCATCTATAAACTAATAAGTAAATAAACATACTGAACTAGTGGTCTTACCAGAGTCACTTAATTTACCTGGGGGTGGGACTAAGGCACTGCTATTTTATTTTATCCAGTTGTTTGTCTCTTTATTGAGCTGTTATATTTCTTTAGCTTTCTTAGATAATCATCCTTGTTAGATATATATATTTTACGAATATTTTCTCCTACGTTATGACTTGCCTGTTCATTTTTTCTTTTTGATTTTTTGGCAAGTACTGCAGATTGAATCCAGGGATGCTTTATAACTGAGCTATATCCCCAGCCCTTTTTATTTTTTATTTTAGACAGAGTGTCACTAAGTTACCTAGACTGACCTAGTACTTGCAATCCTCCTATCTCAGCATCCTCAGTAGCTGGGACTACAGGAGCATGCCACTGTGCCTGGCTTTGTCTATTCATTTTCTTCTTAGTGTTTTCTGATAGGTTTATCTTAAAGTTTTGATGAGGTCAGTTACCTACTGTTTGGACACAATTTCTCATTGATCTGAATACCATCATGCTATGTGTTTTAACGCTCCAAGGAGCTGGGTGCAATAGACTGTAATCCCAGCTACTCAGGTGGCTGAAATGAAATGAGCTGAGGAGTAGCTCGGTGGTAGAGTACTTACTTAACAAGGTTGCCCCCCACACACACCTTCGCTGCCCCATCAAAACAAAAGCTCCTAGGAGTGTCTAATGGGTAGCCAGGGGTCAGCGCTGTTGTCCTGTCCAGAGAGAATAATTTGCGTTTCCTTATACCTGAGTCTAACCATGGCACAGTAACACTTACTGGTACTAAAAGTGAATTTTGATAGAGCAGAGCCAGACCACTGTACGTTTGTCAAATGTGTTCTTCTAGAAGCAACAGGCCTAAGGACTGCAGTGGCAGAAATGCCCCGAGAAATGGCACTCACATGTCCAGCAACCTGGAAAGAGAAACACTTTGTTAGAAAGCCTTTCCAAATGGTGACTAAACGCTGGCCTTGCTGAAAGGCCTTTGTGCCCATGATGGCCTCAGCTGTCCTTGTCCCTGTGAACCAAATACCACATCCAAAACTCTTAGAAGCATGGGTTGGGTCCCCATGTTCTTGATATTCTCTTCTGCTTCCTTCTCCTTCAAAGCAGGAGAAGAGTGAGTTCAAAGCCAGTCTCAGCAAAAGTGAGGCACTAAGCAACTCAGTGACACCCTGTCTCTAAACAAATAACAAAATAGGGCTGGAGATGTGGTTCAGTACCCCTTAATTCAATCCGTGGTACAAAAAAAAAAAAAAAAAAAAAGCAAAGACTGTAAGGTGGAGGGAAACTAAGAACACAAACACTCAAGAATCAAAAACTCCATACTCTTAAGAGTAACACTGAAGGTTAAAAAATTAGGGAGACCTGGCCAGGCCCTGGGTATTTAAGTCCTTACCTTGCACTATCTGGCACGTGTGTTATGTCAAGGTTTTCCTTAGAAAAGGCAAGGTCTTTCCAGCCCAAAAGACAAGCAAATAAGTAGAGCAAAGTTCAGCCTCTGGCAAAGTTTGGACAGGGCTCAAGGGAAATGTTTGCTCAACTAACATCCAGCATGACGCAGGAAGGAGACAGGGCCTGCCGTGAACCCTACGATGAGAAAGGAGAGGAGGCTGGGGAGCAAGAGGGCACGAGGAGAAAAGCAGGTAACAGAGAACACCCAGGGTGGGCGGAGAAAGTGGCTTTTGTTACTGCAGCACTCTGTGTTTCCATCCACTATTTAAGACCATGCTCCAGCAACGCCTTGATTCAGGCATCACTCTTTCCAACTTAGAGGAAAGTAAACTGAGGCTCAGAAAGGCGAAGTCACCTGCCCAAGGTCATAGAGTCGGTGACAGGAGCAGGACCACGGACCAGGACGCCTATTTCCAGCAACAGAACCAGGTGCTTAAGGGGAGCAGGAACCGGGGGACGCGGAGGGACCCCGGGACCCGAGCGCGAGCAGAGGGTGGGGAGGCGGTACTGCGCAGGCGCAGGGAGCCCTCCAGGCGAAGGCCTCTGGGTCCGTGACCTGCAGGCGCCCTCCAAGGAAGACGGACGGCCCCAGGCCCAGGAGGGCACGATCCTGCCTGGGAAACGGGTCGCGGAGCCACCGCAGCATCTCCGCACCTGTCCCGGCCGGCAGCCACTCACCGAGGCCCGCAGCAACCTTCCCACCGCCGCCGCCATCTTCAGTGCACGCGGGAGCCGCGGAGTGGGCGGGGCGGAGGGGCGGGGCCTGCGGGAGGCGTGGAGAGGCGGGGCTTTGGAGGGGCGGGGCCGGAGGAGCCTCGGTCTCCTCCCTTTAAGGGACTTCACTTCACCAGGAAAGTGTTCTTTGTGGCTTGGAGTAGCTGAGTGCTTGTCCTCCTTCTCTCACCTAAAAAGAACGAAACCAGGCAGGGAGCTGGGTGTCTCTCTCCATATTTCCGACTGCTTTGTGTTTTCCTGTTGACCTCGTGTGGATTCCCGTTTCTATCGGGTCCCTGGGAGCATCCATTTACTATTTCTATTTCTGGCTCTTGTAAAGCGTCTGGCTTCTAGTGGAAATGGAATTAACTATTAATTGAGTTTTAGTACGTTAATGAGCTAAGCGACTTAGGCCCATGGAGTTCTGTTTGCCTGAAAACCTTTGGGATAGTGTATGCACCTTCATTTTGGCCTCTCTTTCCCAAATTAGAAGAATTGGGACAAATTTAAAATTTGGCCTTTTTAAAAATGTTTATTTCTTAGGTGTAGATGGACACAACACAATGCCTTTATTTTTTTTTATGTGGTGCGGAGGATCAAACCCAGGTCCGCCCGTGCTAGGGGAGCGCTCTACCGCTGAGCCACAATCCCAGCCCTAAAATTTGGCTTCTGTCAATTAATGAAAACAGGAGCGCAGTAATAAGCGCAGTACTTGGAAGAAGCACCCAAACATACACAAAAATCACCCAGTGCCTCACAGTGAATGTGACAAACTGCAGTCTCTAAGTTAGTTTGACACCAGGCACCTGAAAGTAACTCACTTTTTAAAAACATAAATGAATTTATTTGAAAGAAAATGTTGAACAACTTACATGGAAAAACGTTATAATTTGCTATAAATAGAAAGTGATTTAAAATAAACTCATTAAAGCAAAATATTATACAATCACATTAAAGCAAAATATTATACAATCCCAGCTAGGTACAGTTGTCTGCCAAAAGTCTAGCTTTTTGTTAAAAAAGGGAGAATGAGAGAAGGCAGTTAGAGACATTCTAACCTTAGATCAGATCTTTTTGTTGATGTAATCAGAAGGATTGAAATAGAATTAAAAAGAGAATAATTGAGAATTGATGTTATTTGTTTGTTTCCCCCATTCCCCCAGCTGTGTATTTCCTAAAATTATTTCAAGTAGCACTAGATGGCACCATTTGCTCCTGTCCCCTGCTTTAGAAGAAACTGCCATAGATTCAAGGGGACACATTTTCCCAACTATTTCCCCTCAGCACCTGCCTTGTGCTTAATTTGTGTTCATTATGCGCATGTTGAGCAGTTGATCGGAAATGAAAGAGGATCATGTTGGAGCTCAAAATGGAATGAAATATTATTCAGCATAAAAAGGAATGAAGAATGGATATATACTACAACTGTAAGACCTCAAAAGCCTTACTAAGTGAAGGAAACCAGGCACAAAAGGCTACTGTATGTCTTATATGATAGCCAATTTCTGTGAGGAGGGTATTGCTAGAATTTTCTTTTGGATTGATGAAAATATTGAGGAACTAGATGGAGATGTTGATTGTACATTCTGAATTATAAAAACACTTTTATTTTTTAATGTTTTTTTGGGGGTGGTATCAGGGGTGATCGAACCCAGGGGTGCTTAACCACTGAGACACATCCCCAGCCTTTTATTTTTAAATTTTTTATTGCTAATTTGCTTAGGGCCTCACTACATTGCTGAGATTGGCTTTGAACTTGCAATCCTCCTGCCTCAGCCTCCCAAGTGGCTGGGATTACAGGTGTTCAGCATTACATCTCAAAACACTTTTAAGTGACTAACTTTTTACTGTGTGGATTTCACTCAGCACAACAAAAAACAAAAGAACAAAAAGACTTACAACAACAAAAATATACTGTAGTCTAGTCCAGTGGTTTAATAGGCAAGAAGATGGTGATTGTTAGAGATGGAAAGACTTTCCCAAGGCCACGTAGAGGGGGGACAAAAACCTATCAGGCCTGAAGGTGGCCTGAGGAGGTTCCCAAGAGGGGAAGCTCAACTAAGGACAATGGGGTCCTGCATTATG